GCAAACAGGCTGCACGCCTACGGCACCTTCGGGCTGCCCAAGCTGCCGCCCCAGCTCCGCTTTGACCGCGACTCCTGGGAGGAGGATGGGGATGAGGCTGGGCTGGCACTGGAGGACAGCTGGCAGCAGATCATCCAGGGAGCAGAGGTAGGGCTAGGGGCTGGGAGGCCGTGGGGGCTCTGCTCAGCCCTGGCACGGTGCTGACGCTCAGCCTGGCAGGCCCTGTCACGCCGGCAGTGCCACCAGCAGGAAGCCATCTGGGAGCTGCTGCACACCGAGGCCACCTACATCCGCAAGCTCAAAGTCATTACCGATGTGAGTGCTGGTGGACACTGTGCTGTGCTGGGGCCGGGGGCCACGGCTGCAGCCCACCAGCTCCCTGCTCTCTCCCCACAGCTCTTCCTCTGCTGCCTGCTGAACCTGCAGGAATCAGGGCTGCTCTGTGAGGTGAGCAGAGAGGCTTGTGGGGACCAGGGGTGTCAGGGATGGCTCCTCAGCCTGGCAATGCTGCAAGATGCGGGTGCTGTCCCCCAGTACTGCCCACCTCACCCCCACAGGTGGATGTCGAGCGGCTCTTCAGCAACATTGGGGAGATCATCCGGCTGCACTGCGAGCTGTGGCGCAGCGTCATGGCCCCGGTTCTGGCCAAGGCACGACGGACTGGGGCAATGCTTGACCCCATTGACTTCCTCAATGGCTTCAAGATGGTGAGTGGGGACCCCATGCCATTGTGGAGGGCAATGCCATGCTGTGCCCCACGGTGACCCCTCTGTGCCTCCCAGTTCGGGTCCCTCTTCAAGCCCTACATGCGGTACTGCATGGAGGAGGAGGGATGCATGGAGTACATGCGGGCACTGCTGCGGGACAGCGAGCTCTTCCGCACCTATGTGACGGTAAGGGGAGAGTGGGTACTGGGGCTGGGACCGGGGCAGTGCTGGCACTGACATCTGCATGCCACAGTGGGCCGAAAAGCACGAGCAGTGCAGCCGTCTGAAGCTGAGTGACATGCTGGTGAAGCCCCACCAACGCCTCACCAAGTACCCACTGCTCCTCAAGTCCGTACTGAAGAAGACAGATGACCCACGTGCCCGTGACGCCATTACCACCATGGTAAGGGTATGGGGGTGGGAGACAACAGGGTTGGTCCCCCCAGCCCCTCAAACCCACTGCCAACCCCTCCACAGATTGGCTCTGTGGAGCGTTTCATCAATGACATCAACTCGCGGATGCGCCAGCGGCAAGAGCGGCAGCGCCTGGCCACCATCCTGAGCCGCATCGACACCTACGAGGTGGTGGAGGGCAGCACAGATGAGGTGGACAAGGTAGGCTGGGCATGGTGGAGCTGCTGTCCTCTGCCATGTCATGCCATGCCACGCTATGCCACTCAATGCCACTCTGCCACACTGCACTACCAACCCTATGTCACTTCATGCCATGCCACCCTATGCCATGTTATCCCATGCACCCCATGCTGATGCTGGTGGCTCCCGGCAGCTATTGAAGGAATTCCTGCGGCTGGACCTGACAGCCCCCATCCCCGGCACCTCCCCAGAGGACACCCGGCAGCTCCTCCTTGAGGGCAGCCTGCGCATGCGGGAAGGTAAAGACAGCAAGGTGAGGACTGCAGGGGACGAGGGGGCCTCGGCTGCGGCCCCTGCCCACCTGCCCTCACTCACTGTGCCAACCAGCAACCACGGCCCCACTCTCACTCCCAGATGGACGTCTACTGTTTCCTCTTCACTGACCTCTTCCTCATCACCAAGCCCCTAAAGAAGGCTGAGCGCACCAAGGTGGTCCGGCAGCCCTTGCTGGTGGACAAGGTTGTCTGCCGAGAGCTCAGGGACCCAGGTGAGCAGCACTAGGGGCAAGGGAGTCTGCAGAGGGGGTCCCTGACGTGGCTGACAGCCTCTGCCCACAGGCTCCTTCCTCCTCATCTACCTGAACGAGCTGGGGAGTGCTGTGGCTGCCTACACCTTCCAGGCCAGCGGGCAGTCTTTGTGCCGCAGCTGGGTCGAGGCGGTGCGCAATGCCCAGGTGAGGGGGCACGGGGCTGCGCAGGGGACCTGCAGGTGCCCTGTGCACAACCTGGTCCTCGCTGATGCCTTCCCTTTCCCAGAACCTGCTGCAGCAGCTGCGGCAGCGCCGGTGCATGGAAGAGGAGGAGGAGGAGGAGGAGGAGGACGGCGGGAGCGGCACCTCAGCTGCCAGTTCACCTACCATCCTGCGCCGCAGCAGTGCCAGCCCAGACTCACAGCAGTGGTAGGGAACGGGAGGGGGGCCCTGCACACCCCTGGCCTGGCACAGCCCCCTCCTCACCCTCCTGCTCCTGCAGCCCCTCTGACGGTTCCACTGAGACACTCGCCATGGTGGCAGCAGACGGCGGTGATGAGCTCTCCTCCCCAGACTGGGACACAGGACCCTTCAGATCGACCTCAGACAGCTCCTCCGTTGGCACCAGCACCTCCATCAGCACTGGCACCTCTGTGGACACCTCCACCGAGACCCCCACCCAGGAGCTGCCTGCAGGCGCCCTGCCTGTGCCCCTGCCCCATGGCATGGCCTCCCCGACTGGCGGCTGCCGCTCGTCTTCCATCGACAGTGCCTACGGCACGCTCTCACCTGCCTCACTGCGGGACTTCAGCCAGCAGCCAGATGGGGTGGCTGAGGAGGGGCGGGAGCCCTCCCTGGCCCCCCCAGCTCCACGGCCCCCCTCACCCCGGCTGCGCCGCCGCACCCCAGTGCAGCTCCTGCTCTGCCCAGCCAGGGTGCTTAAGTCCAAGTCAGAGGCCAGCCTGCCACAGCTCCTGTCCCCCACTTCCCCAGGCCCCTTGAGCCAGAGCCGCAGCCTCTCTGACCTCTCTGCTGGCTCCCCCCAGAATAACCAAGCCCCTGTGCCCCCAGCTGCCTCTGGCAGCAGTGGCAGCTCCACGTCCGAGCTCTCGGAGCCTGAGGAGCCAGTGAAGAGCCCAGCCTCCCTCCCAGGGGAGCTCAGGCGTGACCCCCCACCTCCTGCCCACCGGACCCTCTCAGACCCGCAGTCGGCACGGCACCGCAAGCTGACGCTGGCGCAGCTGTACCGGATCCACGCCACGCTGATGCTCAACTCCACGCTGACGGCCTCGTAAGCACATGCTGCCTGTTCCCAAGGGGTGCCCTGGCCCTCCTGGGGGCTCCCCAGGGGCCAGGTCTCAGCACTGAGGGCATCTCCCCCCACTCTGTGTCTTGCAGGGAGGTCTGAGAGCCGCCGGCATGGAAAGCACAGACGCGCAGATGCACCAAGGAGCTGCTCCTGCTTCTAACCATAGCGTAATGCCAGGGCTGGGCAGAGCGAGCACTGGGATGCCACGCTGGTGGGGACATGGATGGGGATGCAGACCAGTCCCCTTGGCAAGGACGTGCCCTGGGCACAGTAGTGCGGGGCTGGACATGGCACATGGCTTGTGCTGGACCCTTGTCCACAGAGACGAGAGTTGTTGGGCAGGGGGCCCTGGGGCCATGGGGGGCTGCGGGGGGCTGTGGGGCAGCTCCTGTGGGCGACGAAGGGATGACAATGTCGGCAATGGTGAGTGGGGAAGATGCTGAGAGGGATGCAGTGCCAGTGGCATGGTGCTGCAGGCGGTGCAGGGAGGAGGCTGGGGCTGTGGCAGAAGGGGACAGTGCGGGGCTGGGGTGGGTTTGCCCTGTGTGGTGGCAGTAGGTGGCAGTGCCCAAGGCCAGAGTATGAGAGTTGTGGTGGGAGCCCCCCCCCGTGCCAGGCTGCACTCCACGTCCCAGCTGAGCAATAAACCCAGCTGGTGCACGCTCGCGCCCGCCTCGCCTCTCCTTCAGCCATGGCAGCACCCAGGGCTGGGCAGCACTGGGGTGGGTGAGGCACAGCTGAGGGAGCCCCACGGGGGCAGGTGAAGAGGGGACTGGGGCCAGTTTCAGCCTGGTGTTCCAGGGCTCAGGATGGGGATGGAGCCCTGGGGTGGGGGTCAGCGCTGCTCCCTGCACACTGTACCCCACCAACCCCCACTACCCTGGGTTTGTGCCAGCGGGTGAGGGAGGGCGGCGGCGCTCCTGTCATGTGGTTTCATATCCCCTGGACTCATTTCCAAAAAAGCATTTCCTCCTGCTGCGGTCGGGTGTAAAAGCCTGTGTGGGGAGGGCTGGCGCTCACTCACCACGCGTCGTGTGCTGCTGGCGGTGGCCATGGGTTGCCGGGGCACCCTGCCTGGGCACTGAGCTGCCCTGACGCCCAACCGTGCCCGCCGCCCTGGTCCCCTCACTGCCCTGGCATGAACCAACCACATCGGCCACAAGGATGAAGTGTTGCTGCCCTGGGGTGGCTTGGGTGAGTGTGCTGGCATGCGGGTCCCATGGAGCCCCGGCTGTGGGGTGCCCCAGGGCCGTGGCTGAAATGGGTCTGGAGGAGGGAGGGAGGAAGGTGGAGTAACTCCAGTGCAAAACGTACCAAACACGCTTGCCCCTCTGGCTAACACCTGGGACTGGTCTCTGCTGCACTGAAGCACCCATGGTGTGGCGTGGCTACAGGGGCCACAGGCATGGCACAGCCACGAAGATCGCAGGCACGGACACAATGTGGTCGTGGAGAGTGTGAGCTCAGTCACAGGGCTGCAGGTAGGGCAGTGCCACGAGGACTGGCTGTACCGACAGCCCGCGGGTGCAGGTCACGCTGCCGGCGGTGGGGCTGCCCTCGGGGCTGGGGAGTGGCTGTCCCGGCACTCGGGTGCGGGGAGCAGAGGCCGCGCCGTGGGCGGGAGCAGCGCTGGCGGTGGGAAGCGGTGTCTGTGCCCACCCCGCAGCCGGACACGGGCGTGCCCGCCGCTGCTCCGCGCCCGCCGCTCCCCTGCCCGCCGGACACCTGCTCCCCGCGCCGGCCGGGGGGCTGCAGGGGGGCTGCAGGGGGGCTGCAGGGGGGCTGCGGGCAGGGTGTGCCGGCAGGGCGGTGTGCTGACGGGGCCGTGCCTCGGCGCTGACTCAGACGTGCCGCTGGCAGCCGGGGCTGCGAGAGCCGCCCTGCTCTGCCGCCAGCGCTCTGCGTGCGGGCGGCCCCGCGCGGTTTCCAGTCTGCCGGTGGCGGCGGGTTTAGCAGAAAATGATTCAGCTGCCGTAATCGGGGCCATCACGGCTGGGAAATCCGGCCCCCAGCGAGGAATCCCCTGTTTCCCTGCCCACACTGCCAGCGCCACGGCCCTCCCGGGTCCCTGCCCTGCCCGTGGAAGGGGTGTCAACGTGGGCACCTCCTCGCCGCCCCCCGGAGCTGTCTGGGCAGAGGGGCTGCCCTGCGTGTAGCACCTGGCACCCCGCGGGGGAGCTGTGACCTACTTTGGGACGCGCACACAAGGCGTGATAGCATCGGGGAGAGCGTGAGCCAGGCACGGCTTCCTCTCGGGGCGGAAATCACCTCCTCTGCGAGGGAGATAAACCCCAGGAAAGTTAAAGCTGGCAGAGTTAACCCCCCCCGCGCCTAGCTGCCGACAACTCCCTGGACCTGCAATCCATGGCACCACCAGCAGCGCGCCCGACTCACTCGTCCCCATCCCTGGGGACACGGCAGGGCTCCTGTCGTCACAGGTGGTCGAGCTTCCCGGCACCACTCCCCAGCCAGCCTGGAAGCACCCTTTGCAGAGTGCACAGGGGCACATGACAGCAGCCATCTGGGCACAGGTTGTGGCACAGTGGCCCCCACCGGGCCAGCAGGAAGTGGTTTGCTCTTGTAGGGCAGGAAAGGCAGTGCACAGGGGCTGCCACGGGGCATTCCCTGCCCTAGGGCAGCGCACCCGCACAGCTCAAGGGCACAGGGCCACCAATCCATCCATTCTGCCCTGCACAGGCACTGGTGTCCACATGATACTGGACCTGGCTCTGGCTCCAGTAGCCCATCATACGTGGCTGGGAGTGGAGCATGGTGTGAGGGCCATCCCCCATGGGTCCACGGCTCCTGGGGCACCCTGGCTGCCCGCAGCCCTGCTCTCTCTTTGCCCACAGGTGATCCTGGCAGTGCTGGGGCTGGCAGCCAGCGAATCACAGCCCCCGGGGTGGCAGAACCACGCAGTGCTGCGAGGACAGCGGGTCCTGGTGCAGCCACTCACCCGCCTGCGCAGACATGCCACCAGACACCCCTGCCCCGCTGGCATGAACTGGATCGAGCGTACTCACCAGTGCTGTCACCAGTGTCCTGCAGGTGAGTGCTGCCTGGCCCGTGTGACCTGGCATGGCACACTGTGGCAACAGAAGGTGTGTTACCCCGTGTGGCCATGCTTCCTGTCACTCTGCTGTCCCTGCAGGGACATACCTGCACAAGCCCTGCACAAGCCACGACGACCGTGTCTGCTCTCCCTGTCCCATCGGCACCTTCCGCTCCCAGCCCAACACCTTGACAGAGTGCCAGGCTTGCTACGAGTGTGACCGACAAGGTGAGCTGAGATCCCACCATGCTGTGCTGTGCCATGCAGCGCAGTGCTGTGCCACTCACTGCCTGCTTTCTGCAGCTTTCCAGAGTGTTCTGAGCAACTGCTCGGCCACCAGCAATGTTGCCTGTGGCTGTGAGCCTGGATACTTCCGTGTCTGCCTTGACAAGAGCTGCAGCGAGTTCTCATGTCGGAAGTGCCAGCCCTGCACTGGGCGCCTCATCCAGCGGCCCTGTGAGTGCTGCCGGTCGCCCCGCGGCACGACTCACTGGCTCTGCCACCTCTGGCTGTGCCACCCTCCCTCATGCCCACCCTCTCTCCAGGCTCAGAGACTCAGGACACACTCTGTGAGAGCAGCTGCAAGCCCGACTTCTACACCGAGGGTGACGAGTGCCGGCCGTGCCACATGTAAGCACTGACCCTCACTGTGTCCCAGCTGGGGACAGGTGTGGGGCCTGTGGCATGGCACAGCATGGTGCCCATGGCTCCCCTCTCCTTGCAGGAGCACCCTGGACACATGCAGCAAAGAGTGCCAGCAAATGTGTGGCGGCAGCAGCAGTGGCCAAGGTATGGGGGTGATGGGGCTGGGGGTAGTGGTGTGGGATCATCGTGCCGGATGGTTGATGGGAACACTCCTGCTGCTCCTTGCAGACTCAGGTCTGGAGTACATCCTGCTGGGACTCACTGGGCCCCTCTTCCTGGGTGCCCTTGCCATCTACCACAAGAGGAAGAGGCTCCGGCACGATGCCCTGGCACCTGGTCCCCTGCCCACAGCACAGGCAGGCACCTCCATGGCTGGGGCTGTGGCCACACCATGGTGCCAGTTCAGTGTCCCGAGGTGGGACAGCCTGTGCTGGACCCAGCCGTGCTCCCCACAGGGGACAGATCGTGCCACTGTCACAGTGAGGCAGAGCCCCAAGCACCAGGCTCTGCTGCGTGAGCAGCCCAGCGACGAGGAGGAGCCCTCTGCCCCACCGGAGCCCCGCAGTGCCCTACTGCAGGGCAGCCAGCTCTATGCTGTCATCGACGCTGTGCCAGTACGGCGCTGGAAGGAGTTCATGCGGATGCTGGAGCTGCGGGAGTCAGAGATTGAGCTGGTGGAGCTGGAGGTGGCCCACATCCGTGACCAGCAGTATGAGATGCTGAAGCGCTGGTGCCAGCAGACCAGCGCCACGCTGGACCGCGTCTTTGCTGCGCTGGAGCGCATGGAGCTGGCCGGCTGCGCCGAGGCACTGCGCCAGAGCCTGCCAGCGGGGCCCTAGCCCCCAGCGTCACCCCATGGCACAGGGAGGTCCTGGCACCTTCACATCTCACTGGGCGCCTCTGCTGTGCCATACCCCTAAGTATTGTTACTTATGCCGTGTAGACATTTTATGTCACTTTTATGTCCCCTTCCTACCCACTGTGCCCCTCTATTTATGTCCCCCTGCTCCCAGGGCTAGGAGGGACCCCATGCCCTGGCAGGTCGGCTGCCTGGCCACTCGCAGGACGAGCGGGCACCGAGCCCACTGCAAACCCATGGGACAGTTCTCAAGGCTGCCCGCTGCCGGGCGTGCCTGTGCTCACCCCAATAAAGTGGCGTGTTTTTCATCGGCCGGCCCCCTCTCTTCCTCGCAGGGCTGCACCAGCAAGGCACCGAGGCACTGCTGACCTCAGGGCCACCACTGGTGATGTGGCCACCACAGGTGACGGGCGATGCGTGTGCTGGCAGAGATGCAGGTGGTGTGGGTGATGGGGATGATTGTGGTGCTGTGGACGAGGGGGGGCAGTGCAGTGGGCAAGCATGGTATTGGGGCAGGGGTGGTGTGGGCAGCCCCAGGAAGGCGAGGGGCACTGCTGGCGAGATTTATAGTTTTAATTGCTGGAAAGGCAGGTGGTCTGAGTGGAGATGAGCTGGGAGCCAGCCTCGAGCGGCTCTGGAGGGGCAGGAGTGGGGTTGAGCGTGCTGCAACAGCGAGCAGTGCCAGTGGGGAGTGCGGGGAGCTGGGCAGCATGGCGAGCCCAGCCGCAGCAGCCGAGCCGGGCAGCGCACAAGAAGCCACGTGCCCTACCCCACGGCAACTCACTTTGCAAAGGGCAGCACGAGGTGGTGGTGGGCTGGCGACAGTGGGATGGGGACTAGGGGTGCCTGGGGAGGTGGTGGGGGCTCCTCTGGGTTGGGATATGTGGCCATCCATGGCGGGAGGAGGGTGCCGAGGCATATCATGGTCCGTGGGGGGACCTACTGGCCTCCTCCCGCCGTGAAGAGCCAGGCGTGGCGTGGCTAGTGCTTGGCTATGTCCCCCTTCTTGAGGATGATCTGTCGCTGCCAGGGCGCCAGCTTTGTCTCATCGTACCCAAGAGTCCTTAGCTTTTCCGACTGCTCCTTCTCCTTCTCCTCCTCCTCCCGCTTCAGCTTCTCCTGCTCTTTCCTGCTCAGCAGTGGAGGGCACGGGGCACCACGGTCACCAGAGCCGCCGTAGCCGCCGTGCCCACCCGCCCAGGGAAGGGGCTTGCGGCACTCACCGTTTCTGCTCCCTGGGAAAGCAAAGGGAAGACTGGGGTTAGCAGAGCTGCAGGAGTGACCAGTGGGTGTGACATCCCCCCGGCCCCAGCTCACCTCTCTTCCTCCAGCTTCTTACGCAGGATGTCCCTCCTCCAGGCTGGCATGCTGGCCAGACGTGCCTCCTCCTCCTTCTCCTGCAACAGACAGCTGTGTTACTGGCACTGCTGGGAGCCCACCCTCGCTGCCGGTACCATGGGGCCGCAGCATCATCCTGGTGCGTGACATCACATCCTTCTGGCAGCTGGGCTGAGCCGTACTCCTGGCATGGTGCTGGTGGGGTTCGCCAGCACGCAGCTCGCCAACGCGGCCGTCACTGCCTGCCCTCCACCGGCGCGGGGAGGAGGAAGGAGCGTGTGGCGTGGCCAGCCCTTGCAGCACACCACAGCTTTATTGCACGACACGCAGGGGCCCACACTGCCCCAGCACCACAAATGCCACACCAGAGGGGAGTGCAGCCCCGCTGCTGCATCTCCCACACAACACACAGCCACGGCAAGCAGCACACTGCAACCTCGGCCCAGGGCCGTGCACAACAACACCCAGCCCTCCGCCAAGCCGAGCTGCACCACGGCACCGCCAGAGCCACAGAGGCAGCTGAGCACACCCGGGCACCAGGTCCCGCTGCTCACAACTGCCCCCTGAGCCTGCTCCTCCCACCCATGCCACACTGCTGGTACAGCCCACAGCATCCTGCAGGGCTCAGGTGTCAGACATCTCTGCCTCCTTCTCCTTCCAAAAGGAGAAGCTGCGGTCGATGAAGCGGCAGACGTCCTCCTCGCTGAACTCGCCCAGCTCTGGCACCAGCACCGGCACAGCTGCCACTTGCCCTTCTGGGGCCATGGGGAGTGGTTCTGGCAGGCTCTCTGCTGCTGCCACAGGGTCATCCCCAAAAAACTCCTGCACAAGGTCCTCAAAGCCATCAAGCCATTGGCGGTGGCCGGCCTCGACCTGCTCCAGCACAGTGCGGTGGAAACGGCGGACGTGGTGCCAGCTGTGGCTGCCCAGGCGGTCAAACATCTCATAGCAGAGGAGGTGACGGAAGCGCCGCTCCTCGGGGCTGAGTGGCATCTCCAGCAGCTGGAAATAGCCCAGCATGAAGAGGTCGAGTGGGAGGCTGTCATGGGGCATGGGTGAGCCACCAACGTGGGGCAGGAAGTGTTGGGGCCAGTACAGCACCGTGGTGCGGCTCAGCCGCCGGATCTGACGCCCTGGCACTCGGCGGGCGACACTCCTCCAACGGGCCAGCAGCCGCCCTGCCGCCGGACGCCGCCTCCCTGGCCGCCGTGGCCGCTCCTCCCCAGGCACGGCTGCAAGTGCCCGCTTCTTCCAGTGCTCCAGGAAGAGGAAGACAGCACGCTCCTTGCACCCCTTGGTGTGTTTGCGTGGGCCGCTCGGCTCTGGCAGCGCTGGTCTGCTCCGCCGCAATGCCCCATCCCCATACTCCTCCTCCAGGATGGGCTGGCGGGCGCTGCCAGGCGGCTGCACCCTCTTGCGCTTGGTGACCCTGGGGAGGGGTTGGAGAGGCTCCCCCGGCCCCTCGTAGTTGGCCTTGAGGCTGCGGACAGAGACGCCGCAGCCCAGGATCTCACGCCGAGCATCATGCCGGGCACCAGGGCTGCCCACTGCCCCCCCTGCCCTGGGGCCCTCCTGGCCCCCCAGAGTGGCCGGTGGCACGGCCATGCTCCTCGGCAGTGTGGGGGACTGGCTGCTGTGGGCAGGCACATCCTCATGGGCAAGGGCAAAATGCCGGGGTGCCGGGGTGGCGGACCGTGGCACGAATGGTGGCAGCTCCTCCTCTGGCCGCCCCAGCAGCGGCTGCCTTGGCTGCACCTCGTGCATCACCCGCAGGCTCCCCAGCTGCCTCTCCAGGTGCTGTATGTCCTCCTCCCACGTCAGCTGCCCGGCAGGTCCTGGCGTGCCCCTGTGGGCAGGTGGCCCGCACCGGCACAGCAGCGGTGACTGGCTCCCAGGCTGCGGCGGGAAAGAGGGCAAAGGGGCTCTTGAGGCCACACGCACCTCGTGCCACCGCCACCATGTGTGGCATCCCCAGGTGTAATGTCCCTGCATGCAGGTGGGGTGGTCCCCCCCAGACCAGCTGGGAGCTGGAGGCGAAGCCACACACACCATTTCACCAGGTCCTGAGCTGCTTGGGCCATGCCCACGCCGCGCTCGCCGCCGCAGCACGTGGGACCCCCCTACCTTGCGCCGCTGCTCCTCTTCCTCCTGCATGCGGAGCTGCAGCTTTCGCACCATCACCTGCCGCTTCCACTCGGGAATGGGCCGGCCCTGCTCGTCCTGGCTCGGCACCAGCGCCTCTACCTCCACCGCCGCCCCAGCACCTGCTGCTGGCACTGGTGAGCTCCCATTTAGCACCGGCTCTGGTGAGCCCCCTGCCAGGCAACGTGGTGGCCCGGCAGCCTCGGGGGTGGCTGGTGGGGTGGGCGTCCTGGTGGGTGATGGGGAGGACACTGGCGACTCTGCCTGTGGAAGGAGGGAGGGAGGGTGGTGGGCACTTGCCATGCTGTGCGGCACTGTGCCACTGGCTCCCCAGGCCCCCCTCACCACCTACGTTGGCCCCTGCCTGGCCGCTGCCGGAGAAGACAGTGGTGAAGCCTTTACTCTGCGGAGTTGGCTTGAGGCTCTTCCCAGCCTTGATCTCGGCCAGCAGCTCTGAGTTGTCACCGGTGGGGGACATCATGTTGAAGGACTTCGTGCCTAAGAGGAGGAAGAATGAGCAGTAAGTGCCCTGCCAGCAGCAGCTACTGTCCCTCTGAATCCCCTATCTATTTTCAGGGCACAGGGGTGTCTGCCCCCCCCATCCAGGAGCCCCTGGAACCTCGTTGAGCAGCATCTTGACACCCAGATCACAGAGCCCATAGGAACAGCTCCATGTCACCCAACTCCTGGGTCCATGGGACCCCACTGGAGCAACCACCCAGCACTCAACAGCCTGTCATCCTAGCTCCCCAGACCCATAAGACCAGCATTCCAGCACTAGCTTACTGCGTCCATGGCACCCTGCTGGAGAGCACCCCAGCACACCAACACCCAGCTCCTGCAGCCCCAGCACAGTCCCAGCCCTGAGTGCCACCCCCTGCTCCTGCAGCACTGTGTTGTGTGTGACAGCAGTGACCTGCCTCTGGAGGGAAGACTCCATGGCCAGTGGCAACCCTGGCACTGCAGAACAGCCCCTACAGTCCCCTGCAGCCCCCAGCAGCAATGCACTGACAGCCCAAGACAGCCCCGCTGCCAGCCCGGAGCCCAGAGGGCTGCATGGCACCAGCATCCCGAGGATGCTTATGCCACTGCTCGTGCCACCCGCCCTGCGAGCACCCACCGTCTGTGCCAGCCATGTGTGCGTCCCTAGCAGCCCATGGTGCCGTGCCAAAGCAAAGCCCCTTCCCCGCAGCTGGTGCCCGCAGCTTGCCCCGCTTGGCTGCACCACACCGGGGCCAGAGGGCTGCGGGTGCTGAGGGCCCAGCGGGGCACGCACGCTGCCATCCAGCGCCGGCTGAAACCCCCCAGCCCCAGGAGCCGGCGCTAATAAAGCGGGTGCCGAGCGATGGCCAAGCCCGCCGGCTGTGGTCAGCAGCGGGGGAGCGGCCGGTGCGCTCACGTGGCGGGGTCACGCTGGCCGGCTGAGCGCAAACAAAGGCCCTCTGTATGCGGGGTCGCAGGGGCCGTGGGGCCCCGGCTGCCTGCCCAGCCCTGCCAGCCCTGCCTGGTGGCTTCGGCAGCCCCACACCAGTGCTCGGCCTCCCGCGTGGCACCACTGGCCACCGATGCCCAGAGAGGGCTTGGCAGCAGGAGAGCTGCGGGCGGTCACTGCCCCCAGCAGCCGTCAATGTCCTGTGGCTGCAGCAAGGGACAGTGCCAGGTCAGGCCCCTCTGGCTGTGCCCCGCTCCAGGGCACCCCCTGAGCAGGGAGGAGCGCGGGGCCGCGGTACTTACTCTTCATCTGCCTGAGCGCCTTTCCTCCTAGGGAGAGAAGCAGAGAGGCGGCGCAGGGCACGTGGCAGAGGAAGGATTTGGCCACCGCGAGACAAGAGAGAAGAGAAGCGGCCAGCAGTGAGAGCAGGAAGGGGCGAGCGGGCGTGAGGGCCCCCGCGCCGACACCGGAGGAGAGAAGGACAGAAAGGCCATCAGGAGCCACACGGCCAGAGTGCCACAGGAGGAGATGTGCCAAGGTGGCTGGTGCCACAGTGCAGCAAATGGGACAGTGCCCGAGATCACTCCCCATGCCCACTCGTGACCCCACCACTTACTTCCCGTGGAGGAGGAGGAGCGGCGGGGGCCAGCGGGGGTCTCGGCCTGTGGGGGTGGTGGTGGGGGCGTCGGGCAGGCGTTGTCAGGCAGTGGTGGGGGTGGCGGTGGGGGAGGCAGCTCAGCACTGGGCTTGCTCTCCCCATTGCGCATGTTGTCCGCCGAGATGGGTGATGCCTGGGAGAAAGCACAGGCAGGTGTCGCGTGGTGCCAGTGCCAGTGAGCCATGCACGGGCTCGTGGCACAGGGCTCACCTCTTCGCTGTGCGCCATTCGACGGGGGCCGGGCTGCTCAGCCGCGATGTGCCCCAGGTGCTTGTAGTAGTCACCGGTGCTCGGCTGTTTGCCGAAATTCCTCGATCGCCTGCTGGAGTCAGCCCTGCGCAGACCCTCGGGACTGGTGTCACGCGATGCCAGCTGCAACGGGGAGCACACCTCAGTACTACTGTGCCTGGCTGTGACCATGGGGCAGAGCCATGGTGGAGCAGGGCTGTGCCAGCAGTGGCTGTGGGGCAGATGCGGGGCTAGTGGGGATGGCAGGTGCGTGCCCAGGTTCTGCTCTGCACACGGCTGTACCGGGGCTGCATGCCAGGGTGACATTGTGTGGCATCAGTGCCTGGCACTGTGACCCCTTAGCCTGTGCCCAGAATCCTGGCTGAGCCTCCCCCGGGATAACCCCCTGGGAACAGGAGTGCCGAGCCTCAGCCCCGCGGATTACTGGGAGCTTATCCCGCGCGGGGCTGGGGCCCGTTTCCAAACGTCCCTCTGAACAGGGCTCTCAGGCAGTGCAGCCTCGGCTCACCCCGGTGCATTCCACAGCAGCTTTTCGGGTCGTGCTGCTGCCGAGTGCTGGCACTGCAGGGGGCTGTGCCTGTTTCCTGGTTTTGGGGTGCCACAGCAGCGTGGCCCTGCTCCCCTTGCCGGGGGCCCCACTATCTGCATTTCCCCATGAGCCACCTCCACCCATGGCACTTTCACGGAGAGCCCAGGTGCTTGCTGCCGCTGCCAGCCCCAGCTAAGTCAACAAGTGCCAGCTTGGTGTTTCCTGCTCCAGCTGCTGTGGGCGCTGTGCCAAGCCCAGCTTCCACTCCAGCAGCCCCAGCCCCGGTCTAGCACAAGGGTCCATGCCATCCAGCCCCATTGCATGGGGAACCCACACGGCTCTGGCACTGCTCTGGCACATGCCTGCACCTCCCCAGGACAGCCCATTACCCTGGTAAGTGCTAAGGAGCCAGGGCTGTGCACAGTGAGCACTATGAAATCCCGAGTCCCCCATGCACGTGGCACACACTGCTCCACCGAGCCCCCCACCCCATATGCCCCATCCCCTGTGCTGCTGGGCTTTCCCAGTGCCCTGGCCATGGGGCCATGGCCATGCACAGGAATCTCGTCCCCAGTGGGGTGGTGAGAACCATGGTAGGGGGGTCAGAGCAACCCTGAACCTACTGCATCCCTGTGACCCCCAGCCCGCCACGGGGGGCTGCACCCCTCTTACCTGTGCACGCCTGGCTGAGCCTTCTCAGCTCCTGGCAGCACTGGCTGTGCCACCCGACACCTGTGGCGCGGGTGACACTGGAGCCGGCTGCTCGGGTTACCGCCTGTGCCTCTGCCCACGCCCAGCTCGGTGTGGTGCTGGTGGCACTGCCAGGGCTGCATGGGCGTGGCTGCCATGGCACGGTGCTGCCAGGTCCTCCAGCCAGCACAGTGTTTGAATGGGGCTGCCCAGTGCCACGGAGCCACCAAAGCATCACTGGCTCCCTTGCTGCTGGTTGCACCCCAGGCCCCCCAGTGTGTGTGCTAGTGTTGCAGGCATGTAGCTTTTAGCTGAGACTGTCCCCTCCCCATGCAGGCAACAGCTCCTCAGAGAGGATGGGTGCCTGGTGGCATGTCCCCCCCCTGAGCTGTGCATGGGACACAGTGCAGGGGACACCGTGCACGGGCCGTACCTCTCGGCGCAGCGCCTGGCTCTCCACGTGCCGCAGGTTGTTCTTGGCCCGCACATAGATGTCAGCAGTGTGGGGGGCGGTGGGGGGTGCGGGTGCAGGGTAGCCAGGGGGTGGTGGGGGTGGCCGGGTGGTGGGGGGTGGGGGAGGTGGTGGAGGGAAGGCAGGGGGTGGCGGCAGCGGGGGGCCCTCGCCTGCTGGGCCCCGGCCCCGCGGCCGCGTCTCAGGGTCCAGCATGTCCATGTACGCCTGCATGTCCGCCAGCGCCGGCTCAGGCACCCCTGCACAGGGCAGGGGGTCAGGGGGGGCTGGTCCCATGCCCCCCGCCCCGCGCCCTCCGGCCCCGCACTCACGGGCGGCAGGGGCCCCGGGGGGGCCGCCCCTCTTCTCCCCGGTGCTGGACTGGCTGGAGTGGCAGGAGTCGTAGTTGGAGAGGGTGCTGGCAGGGGAGCCCACCTCGAAGCGTGCCTGGGGCGCCGATGCCGTGGTATTGGGCGATGACATGCCCGAGTCAGGCTGCCGGCACTCCCCATCTGCTGAGGGGTCTCTCGACAGCACGCGGTGCTCCACGCTCTGCTGGCACAGCCGTGGGGTCAGGCAGCAGGGTGGGGGTGGCGGGGCCCTGTGTGCTCCCTGTGTGCTTCCCACACACTCGGCCCTGGGTGCTGCCATACCATGTTCTCCACGGTGCGCAGGTACTGGGCGCAGTGGCTGTGGCCATTGTAGTCGGCGAGGTCGGCCGCCGTGTAGCCATCCTGGTCACGGATGCTGAGGTCGGCACCATTCACCACCAGGATCTGGCAGCACTGGGGAGAGCAGGGGGACATGACAGGGCTGGAGGGAAGCCCCCCCTTGCCCTGACATCCTACTGGCCACCAGCACCCACCTCCAGCTCGCCGTTCTCGGCAGCGTCGTGCAGTGGCGTGCCGCCCCAGCTGTCCGTGGTGATCTCCCCGCCGTGCAGCAGCAGCCAGCTCAGCACCTTGGCATGGCCACGGCTGGCAGCAAAGTGCATGGCTGTGGCCCCCTCAGCGTCCCGCTCCGACAGACTCACCGTCGTGAAGCTCATCTGCGTGGGCAGGCGGACTGAGTGCTTGTGTGGTGAGCCCCATGCCGTGCCACCACAATGTGCCACCGTGCTGTGCCCCGGCAGCGCTTACCAGCCACACGATGACAGTGTTGTGGCCCATCTGGGCAGCGGCGTGCAGTGGGGTCATGCCATCATGGGCGCGCGCGTGGGGGTCAGCCCCACAGTCCTGCACCAGGTACTGGATGATCTCCAGGTGGCCTTCCTGGCAGGCGAGGTACAGTGGGGTAGCCCCCGTCTTGGTCTGGGCACTCAGCGTGCTGCAAGCGGGGCACAGCGCCTGTCACCTGTGGCCACTGACATCGGCAGCGCTGGGACGGGGGGGTGTAGGATGCAGGGACATGGGAATACGTGGGACACGGGGGACATGGAGGGTACAGGAGATGCAGCTGGGGGCAGGCAGGGCACTGCTCGGGCTGGGAGCCGTCCGCCCCGCGGTTCCCCGTGGGTCCCCATGCTGTGGCGGCGGCTGCAGCTGCAGCGGGAGGTCACTAAGTTAATCAGCCTGCTTAGGCTAAGCTCCTTCCTCCGGCTGTTTTTGGACACTGCAATTTAGTCGTATTTTAAAGTAAGCAGCTTAGGCAGCACCGGCCATGGAGCTGGTGGGGAAAGGCCAACCTGCACCACGGTGCTGCCCAGCCCTGGTGCCCTCCGGCAGCCCCACTGCCCCGGCAGTCCCTCGTCCCAAATTGCACAGCCCGAATTGCACAGCCCGACTCCCGCATCCCACATCCTTTACCCCACATCCCACATCCCATGGCCCCATATTCTGCATCTACATCCCACATCCTACATCCTGCCTCCCCACCCCGCAGGAAGCTGTTTTATTAAGTGCTCCATAAAAAACCCTGTTGAATATTTAAAAAAGGAAGAGCAATAAATACTCTGGTCTGTTATCACAACGATCGCAGGCCCTTAATAATTGATCCCTGTAACTGTGAGACAGGCTGTGGCCAGCACCACCTTCCCACTGTGCTGTGCCATGCCATGCCATGCTGTGCCATGCCACAGTTCAGTAGTGCCGGGCTGGCACAGTGCTGGGTTCTCCCCAAGCAGGGGCTGGGGATGAGGCTGGGGTGGTGGCAGTCTGGGGTGCAGGAGACAGTGGGAGCACAGGCACATAGTCAGTCCCTGATAGGCTTTTCCCACTAATTGGGGGGTTAAGCCAATTGGGCAGCACCAGTAAACTGCTTTGCCAGATGGCTGAGACCCCATGCTGGGCCACCGGCTGCCAGAGACCCTCTGGGCTGGTGTGAAGGTGGGCTGGGAGCGCCAGCATCCTGCGGCAGCACTGGGGATTGGATTTCACAGCTGTAATGGAGCCTCTGGGCAGGCACAGGGAGCAGGGCCAGCCCTAAATAATTCAGGGGGAAGGCGGTGACAGCAATGAAGGAACCCTGACAAGAAGTGTGAAAGCCAACGCCAGCACTGCACCACACAGGGGCTGACACAGCGGGCACCGAGCGGGAGCATTGGCTGGATTGGGGCTTGGCTGGGGCTGCAAGAGTTAATCCCAGAGGTGCTCAGGGCTAAACTGGCACACCTGGGGCAAGGGGATAAAGAGCCAGGGCTGGGGCTGGGGCACCTCTGGCCAGTGAGTGCCATGGGATGTAGGGATCCCTCGATGGGCTCTGTGGCCCTACCTGGAAGAGATGAGGGAGTCTGGGGTACCCAGGGACAGAGGAGTGCTGAACCCTGATTCAGCTCTGCTGCCTCTGGAGCACCCCGGATGTGGGGAAGCTGTGCAACCCCTTTCATCTGCAGCCCTGGAGCCTGCCAGGGACAGCATGGAGCAACAGCGCATCCCCCCGGCTCCACTTTGGCCAGGTCTGTGGGTTATTTCTAGTGGCCTCTGCCCACTGCAGGAAATCGGATTAGGGGCCACCTAATCACCTGCTGCAGCCTCGTAGAAAGGCCTGGCACCACGGGCCCGCTGTGCCACGTAGCCTGGAGGACCAGCTTGGCTCCAGGTACTGCTCAGGAGCCAAAGCAGAGATGCTGCTGTAATGAAGCCGTCTGAGTGAGGCTGCCACGTCCAGCAACGCCCGTGGCCGTGGGCATGTGGAAAGGTTGTCTCGTGCACAGGAGCAGCCTCTCCTCGGCGGGCAGCCTAATCCATTTACATAACAGCAGGCAGACAAAGGCGGCTGTGTTATCGCCCTGCGCCAGGAGCCCAGAAGCCGACTCAGTGGCCGGTGGCAATATTTCTGCCAGCGCTCGCCGCTCTCCTCCTCACCCTTTCTTTCTGGGCCATAAAGAAGGTGCAGCTGACTGCCCAGCCTGATAACTCGGCCACATTGCCCTTGGAGCTGGAGGATGTGGGTGGCTGCAGCATTCATCCCCAGTGCTGGCACCCTGCCCAGCGGCTGGAGGGAGGGATGGGGCAGCAGTGGGTACCCCAGTCTCCCACTAGCCCCTCTCTTGAAGGTGAGTGCCAAGCCTCCGGCAGAGCCCTTCTCACTAGCAGCAGTGGGGGCTGTTACCTGGGGCAGTGTCCCAAGAGGAGTCGCAGGGAAGGGAAATCCCCTTTGGCCGCAGCGTAGTGGACGGGCAGTGCTCCTGTGTTGGTGGCTGCCATGGGGTCACTGCCACCGAAGCGGAGGAGCCAGTCGATCACCTCATGGTGACCGAAGCGGGCTGCCAGGTGTAGGATGGTGGCACCGGAGTTGTCTGTGTCCTGCAGGAGGAAGCAGAATGACTGTGGGCACCAGGGACCCAAGCACCTTCAGCAAGGGAGTGTATGTGGAGCTGGGGACAGTGGGCAGCTGTGGGGCACCCCTCAGCCAGGAGCTGGTCTCGGAAGGGTGGGCTGGCCAGGATGGAGCAGTGCCAGAGTGGGGGCACAGGGCGTTGGAGGGACCAAGGGACCAGCGTGTCTGCCCTCCATCAGGGCCTGCGTCTGTACACAGTGAGTGCGGCACAAAGCCCTCCTTGTTCTGCCGGCGGCGGAGCCCCTGCCCGCAGGCAAGTCGCCGCCGAGCCCCGCTGTGCCGCCGGCCCGTCCGCCCTCCACGCTCGGTGGGGCGCGGGCAGAGCTGGCCCCTGGCCAGGAGGTCGCCGATGCTTGCTGACCCCGTCCTTCTCGTTTAATCCCCGCTCCCAACCCCGCTGCCGCCCGCTCTTCTTCCGGCCGTCACATGTCGTTAACTCTCGGCCGGCCCCGGGGCAAGCCGCTTACCGCCCCGGGCCGCCGTTGTGTAACCCCGGGAGGGGGCGGCAGCCCCCGGGGAATCTGCGCTGCCCTCGGGGCTGAGCACCCCCTGGATGCCGGGGGCTCTCTGGGTCCGTCGGATGCCGCCGGCCACGCACGGCAGGGCCGTGCCCGTGCAGAGCTGGGGGCACCACGCGTGGCCGTCTCCCCGCAGCCGCCGCTACCCACGCGGAACGGCGGAACGTCTCCCCGGCCGCCCGCGGCACCGGGGGCCCGCCGCCCCCCGCCGCCCCCCGCGACCCCGCTCGCACCTGCACGCCGCAGCCCCCCTGCGTGAGCAGCCACTGAAGACAGGCGAGGTTGCCGGTGGCGGCGGCGTCGTGGGCCGGCGTGGCCCCGTTGCGCGCCCGCGCGTCCCCGCGGAGCGCGGCCTCGGCCGCCAGGTACCGGAGGCAGGCGAG